CTTCAGGGAGTGTGTCCCCAAGGGGCTGGGAGCGATTCGCGCCCCGCGGTTGCTAGGGACAACCGCCGCATTCACGCGATTTCCAGCCCGCGGCCTAACCCGCGCTGACGAGGTCCGGACGGCGGTCAGTCAGACCGAAGTCAGTCTGAATTGGCCCTTATCGATGGCCGTTTTGGGCGCGCTGCCGACTTCACCGAGCACTTCCTGCCTGGAGGGGAAGCCGCCCGGTCCCGTCTGGACTCGGCCGGAAATCGAAGAGACAAACCGCTTTTGTGGCCTGCCATCAGTTCTTCCTGCACATTGATTGTGTGGGGGGGGTGTGCAGGAAGTCAGAGAGAAGATCAGTTTGAAGTTTTCCCATGTGCTTCACGCAGCTGGGGCTCGGCAGAGCCAAACAGAGTGACACAGCGCTTTGGAACAGGCCATTTCTCCAGGCCATTTCCAAGGAAGGCTTCATACCTTGACAACCCAGCAGCAGCCTCCAGTGCTTCCTCAGGAAGAACAAGTCACTGTTCCAGAAGAGCGAACGTGTGCTTAAATACCAGCACTGGCGGAACACACCTAAACCTCCAAAATGCTGCCCTTGCTCGTCAAGTTCTCGCACATTTCCCATCACTGCCTCAGAGTCGCTCGACTGGTCTACTGTCTTAAACAGCAAGGGGCTGACGTCTCCAGTCTTTACTCCTGCGCACCGGCGGCTGAAGTTATCTTTCTGCTGTTGCTGGTTCCCAAAGTGGAAAGAGTGATCAGAGACGAACACAGGGGGGTTCAAACTAAAATAAAAAAGTAAAACATGAAATCCCTTTTCTTAGTTGAACAGAATTGTGCCCCACCCCTGTGACACCGTCACGGGATGAGATCCTCAGATCAAGGCACTATTAGCAGCTTTTTATTTGCAAATTGCTGGTCAGAGGGCTTAAAACAAATTGACAATTTTTTGTGAAAGTACATCAGCTATAACTATAGTTTATTCCGATTTCATTAGAATTTGGTCTGATTGCAGAAAATGTTGACTAGAAAATGGAAACGGACTGTAAGGACAAAAGTTTGTTCAAGTGCTTGTTGCTAGAAACTTTGTTTCAAAGCTTTTGTTTACATATGTTTGGGAAAAAAAGGATATTTTGCATTTCTTAAACTAAGTTATGCCCTGGTAGCACTGGTATAAGAAAGCAATGGGGGATATTGTATTTTCCAGTCTTGTGAATGACCCCAGGACCAGCAAGTCTGGAGTTAATCCTCTGAAAGGGCGATATGACTGGGGTGTATGGTGTGAATTTCAGCCCTGCAGCTGTGTAAGACTCCAGTGAGAGTCTGAGCTCTTAAGGTTTTGGAAACATAGTTGTGTAGATCTCTGTGATTTCCCTGTGCTGTAGAAACAGACATGCTTTGTAGATGCCTGTTGCGTTCACAAAAGAACCGGACCGCTAGCCTGACTAGAATAGCTTGATCCTGACTCATTACATGCTCTTTACATACTCCAGCTTGTTTTGTAGGAAAATATTTTACAGGCACGTAGTCTGCCTCAGGGGCAGAGGGCGGAGTCCCAGGACACAGCAGCATTTAAAAACTGCTCTTCACTCCACAACACAGCAACGTTCCTAGAGCTGTGTTGCTGCCCCAGGGCTCAGGAGAGGAGACCGACAGGGACAGTGGGA